CTTATGGGTGCTGAGGAATAGAACCCAGGGCCTCAAGCATGCAAGGCAAGCGCTTTACCACTGAGCCACCTTCCCAGCCCTATGCTTTTAATATTAGGAGTTATATGTCTGATTGCAAACATTATAAAGAGTTACTGTCCTATAGGGGGAGAAAGCATCAGATCTGGATTACTAAGGATGGGATCTTTAAAATGATAATAATAAAACTCGACTCACAAGCTCACTGTAGATATCAGGAGAAACAATGGGGGTGAAAAATGAGAGAAATAATTGAAGTTAAAATATACATACACAGAAAGTGTGGAAGCATCTAATGCTTTTCCCAGTAGATACTAAGCTCCTGATTAGAATTAATCTTATCTTTTTTGTACTTTGTGCCTAGTACAATCTCAGACTCACAGAATATTTTGATAATTGAGTGATGTGTAAATGAATGACCATCCAGAAGCCATGGGAAAAGAGTGACTTTTTGTGATTGTATGAATTCTTGCACAAGATGCATTTTATAATATGTAAATTTAAGCTTTAAAAGTTTATACAAATCATAAAAAGCTAAATATTAGAAGATCAGATGTGTTTTATACACATGATAATTCTACATGTACAACATACACAAGCATATATACACAGTCATGCATTGCTTAATGACGGAGGCCTGGTCTGCAAAGGGGGTCATTACACACTGAGTGTGCTTACACAACCTAAGGAAACTACATTACCGCTAAAGTCTGAAACCTTACAAGACTGCCATCATATACTGACTAAGATATCGTGTATAGCAAGAGAATGTGTGGTTAATAGCTCAAATACATCAGAGAAACTGAAAACACAGAATGAACTGTGATCTCTCAATGGAACTAATCATAATCAAAGTATTTGAAGTGAAAAATGTATTTGTACTCAGGTGATTACCTAACTTAGCACTGCCCAATGTTTGCCTACACAATGCCTTTTCAGTGAGCCTTTGTTTCTTATCAACACAGTTTGAGTACTGTTTGCAATGTAAAAAATAAATAAATAAATAAATAAAAATCTTCCTAGCAATCAGTTGTCTGTCCTTGACAATTTGAGAAAGTGTACTAATTTCACAAACAAAATGTCTGAGAAGAAGGAAAACTATTTACCTGGGTTTGTAGAGGCAATGATATAGAATCTTTGTTTGAACTCTTTTTGCTTGGATATAGATTCTCATCCCTGGGTCAAAATACAGAATAGAGGTGTAGGCTCTGAATGAGCATCTCTCTGGAAAGCTGAAATACAAAATACCAAGGCTATACAACAAGGACTCCACTTTGAGAATGAAAGAAAATTAGAGAGTTTGCTTCTAAAAGCTTTGAAAATTTTTCTGCTAAAATTAATAATGTCACAAACAGCAGTAAATGTGCATTTGCTTCATTAAGCAGGTCTCTTTTACAAAGGCCAACAGAAATAATCTACACTTAGAGCTGAGCTTTTCTTATCAATCAACCAATTCTAAGTAAATATATCAATGGTAGAAAATATGCTTCCCACTTGAACAACTGGCCCATGCTGGGCAACAGTGGCTCACACTTGTAATCCTAGCTACTCAGGAGGCTGAGATCTGAAGATCATGGTTCAAAGCAAGTTTGGGGAACAAAGTCCATGATACTCTTGATATCAAATTAATCACCAAAAAGCCAGAAGTAGAACTTTGGATCAAACGGTAGAGCGCTATTCTTGAGCCAAAAAGCTCAGGGACAGCACCCCGGACCTGAGTTCAAGACTCAGGACTAGCAAAGAAGAAAAATAAGAAAGAAAGAGGAAAGAAGGAAAATGGAGAAGGAAGGAGGAGGAAGATGAGGAGGAGGAGAAAAGAAACCTTACCCAGAAATACAAATAAATAATCCTTTAGTTTGAGTTTGAATACAACTAAAAGAGACAATGATTGAATGACATCTTCTTTTGTAGCTTTCTTTTTTCTTTTTTTTTTCCAGGGCTGAGGACCGAACCGGGGGCCTTGCACTCGCCAGGTGGGTGCCCTTCCGCTGAGCTAAACCCCCAGCCCCTGAATGACATTTTCTTTAAGTAATAATAACAGAGAAATACAATTGAAATGTATTTCCTTTTAGAATTATGAATATCACAATTCAGTCTGTAAGTGCAATTGAGTATTAAAATATGTATTTATGATGGCCTAAGAGGAGACATTTGTCCACAGGATAGGTAAAAGAGGAGAAAGAAAGAAAAGTAAAAACTCAGAGAGGACAAGGGAATGGGTGACATTGTCCAAAAAGAAATGTACCCATTACCTGACTTATACAACTGTAACCCTCTGTGCATCATCTTTATAATAAAATAAAAATTAAAAAAAATCAGTAAGTAACTTCTCTTCATTGAAAAACAAGAGTAGGAAATACAATAAAGTGGGAACAAAGAAATAGGAAACTGCACACTGGGATGTCTCTGAGTCACTGTACTAACAAGTCTAGGGACCTTCTATATTGAACTCCATTTATAAACTGTAAATCTTCAATTACATAAGAAATAAAGATAACACACAAGGGCTTTAGGGGTGGTGTTTCCCATTTCTACATTTCAGAAAATGCCACTAGGAAGGGCTTAACTATCAAACAAGAGAGCAGGGAGGAGCCGGGAACTGGTAGCTTATAATTGTTCAAAGCCAGTCCAAGCAAGAAAGTTCATGAGACTCTTATCTCCAATGCACCACCAGAAAACCAGAAGTGGTACTGTGGCCCAAAATGGTAGAGCACTAGCTTTGAGTGAAAAGGGTTAGGGACATCACCCAGAGTTCAAGACCCACAACACAAGATAGAGAGTTGGAGAGACAGACAGACAGAGACAGACAGAAAGAGGGACAGACAGAGATAGAATGACAGAGACAGAAAAAGACAGAGAGACAGAGACAGAGCAGGGAGCAGCAAACGATCCATCTTGCCATCTTTCTTCAGTTCTGAATGAGACAAAGGTGACCAGAGGACTGATTGGTCAGGCCTCACTACTACGGATTACTCAGCACGACCACACCACTGGCAGGCTGGGAAGCAAGAAAGGACAGAATTCTAGGAATCTACAAGAGTGAAGATGAAGCCAGATGAAATCCAAGGATTTCTTAGTGAGATACAAGTTCCTGCTAGGACTATTTGAAAATTAAGCATGAATTTATTTTGTTGAAAAAGAAGTTAATAAGTTAGCCTAGAGTAGAATTTTTCCCAATATAAATTATATAAAAAGTATCTGGTTCAGGGTTATTATCTCATTAAAGTTATGATATAATGAGAGAGGCTGTCTACATCAGTTTTATTCAACAACAGTAGATCAGAAACTATTTCTATATTCAAAATTAAGGCTTTCTTGGGATTCTATGAGGATTCCAAGAACTTTTACCATTGCTTAAATCTTTGTCTGCATCTATCAAATTTGACATTCCCCTTAAAGCTAGAAGCTCCTATCCAGAAGCCAGTAGGTCAAACCTGTAATGGAAACTACTCAATGAGGCTGAGATCTGAAGATCAGTTCAAAGCCAGCCTAGTCAAGAAAGTCCATGAGACTCTTATTTCTTGTTAACAGCAGTTTAGGCATCATTAGTTTCCTTTGTTACAGATCTTGGTCTTGGGTTAGTCAGAATTGGATGGCTTTCTGATTGGTGGTTCTCCTTTCTACTTCCCTTAAGATTGTGACACGAAAGATTTGCTGTTCCAGGGGCTGGGAAGGTGGCTCAGTGGTAGAATGCTTGCCTTGCATGCATGAGGCCCTGGGTTTGATTCTCCAGCACTACATAAACAGAAAAGGCCAGAAATGGCACTATGGCTCAAGTGGTAGAGCGTTAGCCTTGAGCTGAAGAGCTGAGGGACAGCACCCAGGCCCAGAGTTCAAGCCCCATAACTTACAGTTCCATTCTTACAGTTTGTGTGTGTGTGTGTGTGTGTGTGTGTGTGTGTGTGTATGTCACGGGGCCTGAACTCTGGGCCTGGGCACTGTCCCTTAGCTCTTCAGCTCAAGGCTAGCAATCTACCACTTGAGCAACAGCACCACTTCCGCTTTTTTCTGTTTATGTGGTGCTGAGCAATCAAACACAGGGCCTCATGCATGCAAGGCAAGCACTCTTCCTCGGAGCCACCTTCCCAGCCCTACAGTTAACTTTTGAGAGCTCAATTTATTATTTATTTAATAAATTATTACTAAAAATAACAAGCATAAAAGGGGCATGGGAAAGGTCCTCAAGAACTCTCCTATGATAGGAGACTCACTACTAAGACTCATGGGCCTTGGTCCTGTACCCCTGGCTAGTACAGACTGAAGCAGCACTGGGCTTTTAACTCAAGGTCTCATGTTTAGTTTCAGGCACATCACTATCGAACCATGCTCCCAGTACTTTTTTACTTAGTTTATTTTCCAGATAGAGGCTTGCACTTTTGTGTCAAGCTGGCATCAGAAAGCAGCAATTCTCCTACCTCCACTTCCTGCAAATCTGGGATTACCTCCAGCTTTCTTTTTTATTTTTAATGTTTTTTATTGTGAAAATACTGTACAGAGGGGTTACAATTACATGAGCAAGGTAATGAGTACATTTCTTATCAAGCATTGTGGCCTCCTTCAGCTTGATTTTCGAGATAGGGTTTAGCTAACCCCTTTTCCCTAGGCTGACCTTGAACCATGATACTCCAATTTCTACTTCCTAAGTAACTAGGATTACAGACACCCACCACCACAGCTGGCCTACCATCCATAATTTTTATTAAGATGTCTTTCTGCATTACAGATATTGAAGTTCCACAGTCAGTGAAGAAAGTCATATCCATTGCATGATCTAGACAGAGAAAGACACCCTCACTAGTTAGCAGTTAGCTTAGCACCTGTTTATCACAGTTATCACAGCCCAACATTGCAAAGAAGTTCTTCCAAGGACAGATACATGTTCATGGTGACCCTTTTCTACTCACACAACTACTTTTCCAAGTTCCTGTTCAGTTGTGACCAACGAAATGGTACTGTCTCTAATTTGTGAAGTCTGTGCCAAAAAAAAGAAAAGCTAAACAAAAAAGCTGCACATGAAATGAGCCACTCATTCTAAGTTTCCAGTTTCAACATAAGATCCTTCATGATCTGGGAATGGACTCACAGCTGCTTGGAAATAGGACGCCAACCAATAAAATGCAATCCCCACATTCATCCTCAATGGGCAAAAGTCTCCATCCAACAACCTTCAAGCCTACTTCTTGGCAGTTGCAGTCTATTCATTTAAGGCCACTGTCAGTTTCCACACATGAGGTGGTGCTTTTTTTTTTTTTTATCTCCAAGTCATATGCAATTCTTTGATCACTCTTGGTCAGCAGTTTTTGATACTTCCGGGTGAATGTGGAGATGTCACTTCCTGTCGAAACCCTCCCTCACACCTACAAGCGGCCAAAGTGCTCTCCTTTGGGCTCTCCTCCTAAATTTCCTGACACCCAGATTCCTTACCTAAGGACTTTTAAAATGTAAGATCATCTTCAATAATGATGCCATAAGTCTTTATAAATAAAGTCCTTCACTAAGGAAACTAACCTACAAATGTGCTCTCAGTAATAAGGATAACCTCAAAAGATGAAAGAAAAATGCTGTAATTCTCCATTCACAAGGAGCGGCTTGACATATATTCTTCAAGGGTTTTTATCTCCTTTATGTCTGTGTTTTTCCTTTCTGTCTCCTCACATTTTGCCAGATGTCTCCATATCTCTATCCTAGTATCTCTTTCTCTTTTACTTTCTATTTAATTGCCTATGATAAGAAACTGAAGAAATAAGAAGCCAGTCTTGTGGGCATGCACACACGCACAGAGTTACATGAAGGGGAAGAAGGAAATGAATATTTTAAAGCAGTATCTGGCTCCTCAGTCTGCAGAATATGATAGGAGGAGACAGAGTAGTATCTATGTTACTGTCTTAAGAATTCTGAAAAGTCAGTCTCCACTTCAGGATGTAGGGGTGGCCTCTTGTTGCTCATGATCTGTTCCTGTTATTCTGCTGCTGTTTTAAATGTGGATCCATGGTGGATTGGTGCATTGTTATCAAGCAGTGCCAAGGGCCGAAAAGAAATCAGAGGTGAAGCTCTGTGGCCAAGGTTGTTATTTGTTGATTCAGATTCTTTGTGGCTGGAGACTGAGAATGTGAAATCTCTAAAGCTAAGGAGATAATTCCTTTAATGCTGCAAAGTTTGGAAGCCCTAGTTTGGTAAACCGAGGAGAGGGGTGGTATGGAAGGTCCCTAAAAGAGAAGAACAGACTCACAAG